GATTAAATAACTTAATATTTACAGAGCACTTAAAACAGTGCCTGCCATTTAGTAAACTCCATTCAGGTGTTAGATAAATAAAAATCAGTAAAAATATGTAGTTGGTAACATACTGGTATACACTATAGAGTAGAACACCATTAATAATGCTCTCTAGTAGTTTCTATTCAGAGGCTCCCATTTAAATTCATGAGACCTTGTGACCTGTTCCATTGAGTCTTAAGATGTACTTAGAGTTCAATTTGTATAATTAAATCCTGAGTTTGATCAAAATTCACTCCTACCTCACCTAAGCAGATGATAAAACAGTCCCCTCTCTTCCCTCTTCTCTCCTCTCTCTCTCCTCTTCTCTATCGTGTGTGTGTGTGTGTGTGTGTGTGTGTGTGTGTGTGTGTATTTAGCGTCTTGATGGGTCTGTGAGAAGAAAAGAGTGATATTATTCAGGCATACCTTATCCTGTTGGGCACAGAGAAGCCAAAAATAAAAGCAATTACAGGTAAAAGTATCCCCACAACTCATCTGCTCAAGGCCCCACTATGGAAAATTTTGTTCCTCCAGGTTCCCTGTCTTTGCATGGTAAATACATAGTCCTTCCCTTTCACACTCCTCAGCTGCTTGGGCCTGGCTGCTAGAAAAATCCTAGCCCCTCCTAGTAACCAAAGCAGCCATTCAGGGAGCAAATATAGAGACAGGGAGGGAAAAGGAACTATAAATAAACACAGCATCAATAATTCCTCTCTATTGTGATTATTAAGAAATGAATCTGATTCTTAGACATAATACAATCTATATATTCAAGTGAACACTATCCTTCCAAATTGTAGACTAACAGCAAATATGAATCACTGCGATCTAATGAGTGCTTACCATATGCTAGCCAGGAATTCATTGCTCCAAGCATTCAACGTGCACCATCTCATTGAATCTGACAGTAAGCACTAGAAGGTAAGTAATAATCCCCAAATATAGATGAGGAAACTGAGGCACAGAGAAGTTCAATAATTTATAACTCTAAACAGCAGACCCAAGAGTTAAACCCAGGCAGTCTGATTCCACAGCCTGTGATCGGAATGATGACCCTACCAACCAGCTTGTCTACATTGTCTTTCCAATTATGATCTTCTTTTTTAAAATTCCTCTTTAGCAATTTCCCTCAGGACCAGTTTATCAGTTATAGAAGAATATTTGTCTCAGTAACTTACAATCATTCCATATTTTATTTTTTTAATCATAATATCCTAATAAACCCATTATTCACTGTTCTAGTAACTATGAAAGATACAAAGATAAATAAATAGAAAAAATACAGCCCCTGGCATTAAGGTACTCACTCTTTCAAACTAAAAATGTTCCCTTTAGCCTTCATGAAGGCAAAAGTCAGAAAAATTCAAAATATGTTAGTGCTTTAGACCCTAATAAAAAAGCACATGGATTCTTAATCATATTAAAATACAGACTGTGGGATATATATAATGGAATATTATTTAGTCATTAAAAAGAAGGAAATCCTGCCATTTGGAACAACCTAGATGGACCCAGAGGATATTATGCTAAGTAAAAATAAGCCAGAGAGACAAAGACCAGAAAAAAAAAAAAAAAGAAGATTTCATAAAAAAAGCAGGGAGGGGGGCCCACAGTGCTTGCCCAGGGCCGGGGGGGGGGGGGGGGCGAGAGAAAAGAGGAGATGCAGATCAAAGGGGACAAACTTTCAGTTATGAGAAGAATGAGTTCTGAGGATCTAAAGTGCATCATGGTGCCTATGATTGATAACATGGTATTGTTTGCTTGAAAATTACTAACAGTTGACCTTGATCATTCTTACAAGAACACAACAGAAAGAAAGTTTAACTATTAGATGGATATGTTCATTAATCTGATCTTAATTATCATCCCACAATGTATATAGAAAGTCAAATACTGAGTTGTATACTTTAAATATATACAACTCTATTTGTCAGTTTTTCCCAATTACTTAATAAAGTTTTCAAAAAGACGTCTTCAGACAAACACAAGCCAGTTTGACTTATTTTCACCCTAATAATTCAAAAATATTTATTAGGATTCTATGAGTCTGTTCCTCCAGGCACCAGGGAAACAACAGTGAACAAAACAGACAACAGCCTTACTGCCATGGAGTTCATGTTGTAGAGGGAGAGGCAAATTAAAATAGTCATTTATTTTATTATTATTTTATTTTTTATTTTTATAATAAAATAACAATTAAAATCAAACTAATTAAAATAACAGCATAATGTCAGAGAAGCAGGTGCTATGAAAATATAAAGCAAAATACATACTCTGAAGGAGCCTGCTGTTTGGGCAGGTGATCAGGAAAACCTCTCTACAGAAGCAACATTTAAGCAGATACCAGAAGTAAGGAAGTAAACTCTGTAGCTATCTGGAGAAAGAGAAACCGTGTAGGAGCATTTGGAAGATCTGAAGGAACGGCAAAGGGGGAGAGTGACAGAAGATTAAAATTTTGTTACAGTGGAAAGGAGCCATTTTCTTTTTTGTTTCAGGAACTGTTCATAACTATGCAAGTATTAGAGCATTCATAGGTAAATACTTCTGTGAGTCTATAAAATACCAGACTCTGGGCTCAGGGCTGGGGATAGTGGTGAACAAAATCACACAGGCCTATCACAAAATAAATGAAAAGTTCAATCATATGAAGGAAAAGCACATGGAATGTGTAGACCAGGGGAAACATGCTCTGGCTGGGGTCGGCCGGGGGAGGGGGAGTTACCGAAGGAGACTACATTCCAGCTGATCCGTGGAGGATGAGAAAGAATTAACCAGATGGCCAGAGTATTCCAGGCAGTGGGAGCAGCATTTGCTAAAGCCCTGTGGTCAGTGGGCAACAACACACAGGCAACAGCTAGAGCTGCACAGATTGAGATCCAGGTTAAAGTAAAGCTGATGACTTGGCAGAGGCTAGTGTGTGTAGGGTTGTAGGCTTGAAGTCACACTGGGAACTTGGCCTTTAAATTATGGGCAATTGCAAGCTACTGAAGTTTTTTCAGCCATTTAAGAGTTTCAGAGTTCTGGGTATATTGCAGCATTTGTAAGAACAAAAGAGGTACAGTCAATAGTTGGGTGTACTTTACTTTGTTTCTACTTGCCGAGGTTTACATATAGGTTCATTTTGATCCATCCAATGGAAACGTCCTCAGCTTCCCCTTAAATTATCTAATGTCATGATGTGAATGGGATTAGACTAAGCAATAAAGTCTCAAAGAATTCTCATTCCAAGATCAGTCAAAGCTTTCTATTTATGTTAGCTCATACTTGCTTACTATCCAGAAGTCCCAAACAAGTATTCCATGAAGAACGAGCCTACAATGTTTCTCAAAGCTTCAAACTCTAAAATCTGCTGTGAAAATGCAATTGAAGACAGTGTGCAGTTCTTGGACTCAGGAACTGAAGTCAGACATACAGATAAAAATCGGAACCAAGGACCATATTTGGGGATTATTTTCAATGAGAAGGAGAACAGTGACCTTGCCTCATAATGAATCAAATCAGAGGAAGGAAAGGGGCTTTTACTGACCTTGTGTTCCAGCACAATCAATCCAGTGCCCACAAACCATTTATCTAGCAGCTGAGATACAGCATAAAGAATGCTCTGAAGCACTTCCTACCAGAGTTGATAAAGAGAACTTTCTTCCTTTAAATAAGGTAACATCTGAGGAAGCAAAGGCACAAGGAAAGGGAAAACACCATGGGGACATCAGGCTCCTCGAACTCTCAGGACCCTGCAGGGCAGGGACAGGCATCCCGTGCCTATGTTAATTGGCTCAGAGAAGCTCAGGGTTGCATGATTACAGAATTTGGAGGGAAACACTCTGGAGATGGCTAAAGAGACAATTTTTTAAAAGGCAGGGAAGTATGAGACTTAGAGCAGGGATCATAAAATATATTTGCTTTACTTTTGTTCAATTCACAAATTCAGAAAATGAGGATATGGAAAATTCAAAAGGAACTGGACCTGTCAAGCAATTTATTAGGAAATGTCCTACATTGGGAACAATTAGAACTTGAGAGAATAAATGGCCAGCAGGGTCAGAACCCTGGCCAGAATCTGGACACTATTCTGAACAATTTTTGTAGGAAAGGACTTTTTCAAATGAGACTCACTTACAGAGAATTTCCACCCTCCCTCGAGAAGACTTATTCTGAATTCTATCCCCAGGAATCAACTGCACAGCAACAGACTAGATTAAAAAAGAAGATGGAAGTGACTTGATTGCTTGACCTGCTGAATAAGATTTGAGACTATTTCCCCGACTCTGTTATGTCTACTGACTACTGTGTCTCTTTGCTAATTTCAAAACATTCATGAACAAATGATATGTGAATAGCAAAAGAATATTCTTACTTCCTAATAATTAATGGGTGGTAAAGGAACCCTCGAAGCACATTACATAAGTTACAAGCGTCTTAATCAAAATATAAATGTTCACCTACCCAAGTAGCAACCAACTTTATAAACCTATGTCTAAGTATATATGTCATCATTTATTCATTCACATAATAAAATTTATTCAGCACCTATTATTTGCTAGGTGCTGTGAGATGTATTAGGACACTAAAGAACTTTCTTTGGCCTTTGGATGTTTATAGGCAGAGAGAGAAAAATAGTCACTTTTCAAGTTAGTGCAATAAAATATCCCAAGTGTCATGATGAGTAGCAAGCCTACTTGATTCTTAAACAATAACTGCACACCCACTATGTGCCAAGGATCATTTCTATTTACAAATATCAAAAGCAGTCCCCCCGAGGGGCAGAGTCACCTTAGAGGAAAGATCATTTTTTGTTGTTGTTTCAAACACACATAATGATGTATAAGTGTGTACATGTTTACTATCTGGGTAACTGAGCTACACATTAAATCAGCTTCTTTTCCTAAAGTCATCTTTCCTTTCCAAGCCAAGACACAAAACTAAAGCCCAAATCAGTTAAGAATGATGTTTTAGAATCATAAAATAATTGTCCTTACCAGGAATACAGGATTGTTCCAACAACAGATGTTAGTTTACTGTTTTCTTGTTTTTGCTTTGCCAGCCCAAAGTCAGCTATAATTCACAAAAAAGAAAAAACCATGTCATTATACTTTCCCTGAATTATCATGGTTCCTTAACTTTTTGCATTCTGTACAATAACTATTAAAGTTCACAATAGAAAGCTTTTTTTTTTAACCTTCTGTCAAAATGCCCCATGTGTCATTCTTACACACCACTCTAAGTTTTAATTAACATACATACATCAGGTCATTGTGCTATATACTTTGTTTTCTTTTTAATTTTTTAAAGTTTGTTGATTTATTTTTGAGAGAGAGAGAAAGTACATGCTGGGGAGGCCAGAGAAAGAGGGAGAGAGAGAGAGAGACAGAGAGAGAAAGAGAATCCCAAGCAGGCTCCACTCTGACAGTGTGGAGCCCAATGCAGGGCTCGAACTCACAGACCACAAGATCATGACCTGAGCCAAGACCCTGAGTTGGAGGATTAGCTAATTAAACCACCCAGGAGCCCCATTGCATTATATACTTTGAAATAATGCGATATATCACTAAAACCCTAAAATAAGTCTGGCTGACTAAAAAATAGGGCAAAGTACTTACTGAGCTTATGACTCCACCTTTTAGGTTATCTTTATAATTTTTGAAAAAACAAAATGAATCAAATATTTCAGCATATGCCAGGTATCACCTCATCTGGATGAAAGAAAAAAAGAAAGGAAAGGAAAGGAAAGGGAAGGGAAGGGAAGGGAAGGGAAGGAAAAAAGGAAAGAAGGAAGGAAAGAAGAGAGAGAAGGAGAGAGGGAGGGAGGGAGGGAGGAAAAGGAAGAAACTAAAATAAAAAAATAAGCCAGAATAGCCACCATGAAGATATGAAGAATCCTATACTAAAGGGAATCAGACTGCACTAAGCCATAGCAAATAATGATATTCAGAATCACCTCAAAATATTTATATATCATCAAAGGATTTTGATATTTTGATTTTTTAGCTTAGAACACCAAATATTTATATTTCATATTAGCACTAGCTGTACTTTCCAATGCACCTTTAGGTACTTCTGTTTTAAATCACTCAACAACTTTGGTCAAAGAGATAGAAGCAGATATTCTTCATATCCTCACTCTACAGACTTACTAACATTTCAAAAGATTTAATTACCAGGATTACATAAAAAAGTGCTGATCCAGGGCAAGAATTCAAGTTGCTATACCTAACAAGATTTGATGTTCACAATACCACTTTGTACAGTGCACCATGTGTTGATGGCAATTCACTGCAGTGAACTTTAATAAGAGTAGATGATAATGTATCTACACTAATAAATCTTTCAGGTTGAAAATACTCCAAAGTAGTTAGACTTCAAACTAATAATAATTCACATTATTAACAACAATGCCCATTTACTACACAACAGCTTGGAAGTAACACAAATTTGGCTACTTACATGAACTGTCTTACTTAATACTAATGGCAATCCTGACAGATAGGTATTATTATGGTTCGTGCTGCTTAGCCCTTGAAAGCAAGAACTCTAGAACTGGACAGCCTCAATTCAAATCCCGGCTCCAACATGTGCTACTAGCGTAACCTTGGGCCAGTTATTTAATCTCCTTTTGTGGTAGTGTAGCAGGATTCTTGCACAGAGAGTCGTGACACCGAGGCTTTTCTTTCCAGGAAGCAACTTTATTCTGGCCGGCATTGCTCAGTGGGGTTCGTACCTAAGGAATTGAGCCCCTAACACTACGTGGCATGGTTTTTTATATATTTTTTACTTCTTTGTCTCCCATATGTGGTAACATACAAACATGCAGTCTGATTCAAGTGGTCTCATGTTACAAGGCCGTCAGGGATGTTGGCACATACACAAATAGCAAGACAGCCTTGAGATGTTCTTTTTTTCTTTTTCTTTCCTTAGGGAGGGGACCCTACCACAGTAGTTATAAATAAGGGTTATAATAGCATAAATATCCAAATGAGCAAGGAAGAAGTCAAACTTTCACTATTTGCAGACGACGTGATATTCTGTGTGGAAAACCCAAAAGACTCCACCAAAAAATTGCTAGAACTAATACATAAATTCAGCAAAGTCATAGGATATAAAATCAATGTACAGAAATCTGTTGCAGTTCTATATACCAATAAAGCAGCAGCAAAAAAAATAAATCAAGGAATCGATCCCATTTACAGTTGCATCAAAACCAATATGGTACCTAAGAATAAAACTAACCAAAGGGGTAAAAGATCTGTATGCTGAAAACTATAGAACAATTATGAAAGAAATTGAGGAGGACACAAGGAAATGGGGAAAAAATTCCATGCTCATGGGTTGAAAGAACATTATTAAAATGTCGATACTACCCAAAGCAATCTACACATTTAATGCCATCCCTATCAAAATACCACCAGCATTTTCCACAAAGCTAGAACATACAAATTTTAGGATTGCTTGTTCACTAAAGGTCTTGAATGACCAAAGCAATCCTGAAAAAGAAAGGAGGCATCATGATCCCAGACTTTAACGTCTATTACAAAGCTGTAGTTATCAAAACAGTATGGTACCTGCACAAAAACAGGCACATAAATCAGTGGAAAGGAATAGAAAACCCAAAAATGGACCCACAAATGTATGGGCACCAAATCTTTGACAAAGCAAGAAAGAATATCCAATGGAAAAAATACAGTTTCTTCAACGAATGGTGTTCGCAAAATGGGACAGCAACCTGCAGAAGAATAAAACTGGACTGCTTTCTAATACCATATGCACAAAAGTAAACTCAAAATGAATGAGAGACTTAAATGTGAGACAGGAAACCATCAAATCCTAAAGGAGAATCATAATCCTAAAATCATAATCTTAAAGGAGAATACAGACAGCCACCTCTTTTTTTTTTTTTT